TGATACTCTTTTCAGATATAAATAAATAATGAATGGATGTGCATGAAATCAATTTTGATTGAGTGCCATGATGATAATTAAGATCATATAATTTTTGTATTTTACTATTGCTATCGATAGCGTAGCAAAGGTATAGAGCTAAGGAGATATACATGATTTTGATTTCAAATAGTTATAAAAATTTCGTGCAGAAAAAGGTTCCTTACAAATCGATTACTTTCGTGGATGTGTCATGTGAACAGTACAAGCGCATCTATCCACGTATTCTCGGACTCTTCGTTTTCGGGATCATCGCAATAAAAAATGATAACGTTCAATGCTGACGTCTAGTCGGTAAAGAACACAAAGAAATCTCGCAAAAGACTGCATAAAAGCGATATGAAGCGATCTTAATTTTTGGCAATCGAATTTCAATTACCACAAAGTAATGATAAATGATTTCTCCTACTAACAACAACTGATTGGATATTATTTCACCAATTTTAATTATATCGGGTAAAAGTTGGAGGCCAAATCGTCAAAATCAGTGTTTTGTGGAACTTACTGAAGAACAAGGAAAACTCATATTGAAGATTCAAAATTGTTTGGATCATCTCAACACATCTATCTTCCTGACATAGATCGAACGAATTTCTATCAGCTTACCTTTCTCTAAAACATCGCGACACAAGGTACAGATTTTGTACCGCAAAAAAAAGGCAAAGTATGGAGATCGAATGTGTGCGTGAATGATTACATAAATGTTGTACTTCGCACCGCATAAAAAATCAATTCTACGAATTTGGCTGAATATCTTACAGAACATCAGTGTCCTATTTCAAATTTTATCGTGCAATAGAGGACTCATTGAGCTATGTTGTTCATATAGAAGGTATAGCTAATTTTTTCGAATATGATCAGATATCAGACGATATCACCAAAGCGATCATTATAATCATTATAAAAGGTGCAGATCACTACCTGTACATTGTAAAACTCAGATTAGACAAGTAAAAATATGATTGTCATAATATTTTACAAGTTCGAAAAAAGTTGCGGAATCGTTTTTCTGTACGGTTTGTCGCTTGTAACAAATATTTTAAATAAAATTCCTTTGTACATTTTTTGCACTAGACACATTGCTCTTTCTAACAAAAAAGAAGAAGAGATCTCTACAATATTCTATTACACTGCTGTATCAAATAAAAACATTAATGCAGAACTTTTGCATCACCCGTTAGTTTCGATAGCTAAATAAGAGAATTAATCATTAGATGCCCTTTTTTGGGTTCGGGAATGGTAGCTGATTATCATAGAAAACCATCCATCTTTTGAGGATTTCTTCTCACAAAAACATCGGATCGAACTGAAAGTTTCAGAAAGTACATAACTCATGTTGAAATATCGTGTCTGCTTGCCTTGCCAATTAGATCAATGTTTAGAATAATAATAATGTTAGATTAAGACGAACAGAATACGTAAATGAACAATACCGACCAAATAGCAACAAGAACGAATAAAAAATCGAGAACCAGTTATAAAAATCCATAGAAAACCTTTCTGTTCAAAATGCAGAAATAAGTAGAATGAATCATTTCTCTAGTGATCGATGGTCTTGGAAAACAACTATATTTTGCGAGACTTTATTTTACATATTTCGTAATAGTATAATGAGCTATTAGTGCGGGGCGTGGGTGTGGGTGTTAATCTTCCCTTCATTCATACCCACATCCACACCCATCCCATGTTGACTAATTTCGTTTGTAATGTTAAATAAAAATAATTTCCTAAAAGTTGCAGATACTCTTGCTAATTTGTTAGTTTTTTCTTCAGACAAGTATAGACAGATTATTTACTTATTTGATTTAACTCGCTATACATCAATCTTTGAACGAGTAACTTTTCATGAATTAATGTAATAGGATGCCTTTAGAGAATTTCATTTATTTCTAAACGTTGTTATTCACAAATGATCATCAGTAGACATTCAAATTTTTCGAATAAGATAATGTTATGTATATTCGTTTCTAAAAAGTGTGTGGTGTCATCGATCCGCAGTTCTAACAAAACTTGAAAAACTTTCCCTTTACTCTAAGAAAACTGGTCGGTTTTGAGTGGGAAATAGCAGAAGCATACAACTATTAATCCTATATTTCCAGTCAATGATATCTTTTTTAACAATCCTTGGCATCGACAATCTTATCTTAATTATCAATTTCACATAAGATAGTCAATATCAATACATAAAATTTGTAAAATCCAACCGATCTATTATAGTTGAATGGGGATTTCTACGCCCAATCGTATTGTAGATAAAGTGACAAATGGTTTTTGATTGTGCAACCAAGAATTCTCTGTAGACATTTATTTTCTATATTCAATTCGTCTTTTGTTTGAAAGAGCATTTTAAAATGCACATTATGACAGAACCCTATTTTTCAATTAAAGTAATAAATAAAAAAGAAAAAAGTGGCATGCATCTTAATATGATCTTTCAAAAAAAAACTAAGCACATAGGATGAAGGCTCGTAGAGCATTTTATCTTATCAAATAAGCTATTTTTGACTTTTGTTTCATGAATATCTCTCACAAAAATTATGGTATAACGCTCAAAATTTCATGC